CAGCTGCAGTCATGTTCTGGGCAGTATCATTCATTCTGACCCCAAACTGAAAAGGGACAATTTTTGCCTGCCCCACAGCCTCCATCCAGCCCAGTCAGTGCAGCATGACAGGAGTGCCTCTGCACTTCTTGCCCTTTGCATGGCAGTAAGACAGACAGGAGTGTGCATGGGCCAGGCAATGTGGCTGTGCTCGCCAAGGCACTAGGGTGGAATGTTATGTGTTCATTTTTCCCAAGAGAAGCAGCTATATCATTTTGGTTTTCTGCAGAATGATGCCTGCCCCTTCTGGGGGTCACAGAGTGAGACAACTACCACTTGGATGGGGAAATGAACTTTTATAGCCCTTGCTGTGACCCACTTCAGACTGTGGGACCTTCTTTCCCTTCTGCTCTCCATTCCTGAGGGTCCAACCTGAGAGTACACTCAGGTATCACCTGTAGTCTCTGTCTCCAGCCTGGCAGCTCTGAGTAGGCACTGCTGTGTCAACCCTGCAGTGCCCACCATGGGAAAGTAATAGCATAGCTTGGAGGGAATACTTTAATGATGTCCAGAGAGCTGGGCACCGTAATCTCAGCACCTGCCAGTAATCTCAGCAACTTGGGAGGCTGAGGCAAGAAGATCACAAGTTTGAACCAGCCTGGGCACTTGGCTAGATCCTATCTCAAAAGAGTAAGGGGTCACTCACAAAGAATAAGGGGTCACTCACACGTGACATTGGGGCCCACCTGGCTATATGGCCCTTCACTTGGGCTTCCCTTTGCTCAGCACTTTCACATTGACAGGAGTTTGGACCTCTTAAGTTCCTCACTTAAATGTAGAAAAGGGCCCCTTAGAAATGGGAACCACCTGGGGTTGGGGTTGAAGCTCAGTGTTAAGGTGTTTACCCAGCATGTACGAGGCACTGGGTTCAATTCTCAGCACCGCATATAAATAATAAAATTAAGTCCATCAACATCTAAAAATACATATTTAAAAAAGAAAGAAAAGAAATGGGAACCACCTGATGTAGAAAAATACTAAGATGTGAGACCTGGACGTACTTCCTTCTTATCCAGGTCCAGACTATACCTGGTTTTATGCTAACCAGGAGCCTTACTCAACCCTGTCTCTGGGAAAATTAGGAGAGAGAGAAGGCTCTATAGGTAAGTACAGAAAAGCTGAATCTATGGCTAGTAGGACACCAGGACCCTTGCTCAGCTACAATATCTCTGTTTCCCCATCTTAACCCCACAGGCTCTGCCTTTAAAACTTCCATGGTCATACTATAAACAAAGAAATTGGGCTGGGGATATAGCTCAGTTGTTTAGAGTACTTCCTCACATGCACAAGGCCCTGGGTTCAATCCCCAGCAAAAAAAAAACAACTCTGTGTTCCTCCATTAATCCTACAAATTAGGAAGATGGTGTAACTACAAACTGATTCCCTGCTGGGAAGCAAAAACATTGGGCAGAAGTCTTGTTCGGTTATTAAAAGAGCAACGAATACATGTACAACTCATTATTGACGATCTTCTCTCTTAGAAGGCAGAGGCAGCTACAAGGGAAGCTTACACTCAGGCCTTCATTCTGACCAATAAGGAAGAATGCCCTGGGGATATGGAAGTAACAAAACTTTGGGGGGAAGTAATAGCATAGCTTGGAGGGAATACTGGTCTTAATGATGTCTAGAGGAGCTGGGCACAATGGCACATGCCAGTAATCCCAGCAATTTGGGAGGCTGAGGCAAGAAGATCACAAGTTTGAGACCAACCTGGGCACTTGGCTAGATCCTATCTCAAAAATTTTTATTTTTTTTTTTAAGAGAGAGAGTTTTAATGTTTTATTTTTTGGCGGACACAACATCTTTGTTTGTATGTGGTGCTGAGGATTGAACCTGGGCCGCTCGCATGCCAGGCCAGCGCGCTACCGCTTGAGCCAAATCCCAGCTCCTCAAAAATTTTTAAAAGGGCTGGAGTTGTAGCTCAGTGGGAGAGTGCTTTTCTAGGATGCATGAGGCCCTGTGTTCAAACCCCAGTACCACACACACACACACACACACACACACAAATGCTCCATGACCTAAGACCCTCATGCAGAGCACTGACATTGCTAGAAAACAACAAACAGGCTGTTAGAAGTAATTTCTCCTGGGGCTGGGGTTGTCATTCAGTGGTAGGGTGCTTGCCTAGCACGTATGAGGCACTGGGTTCGATTCTCAGCACCGCATATAAATAAATAAAGGTCCATTGACAATAAAAAATATTTTTTAAAAAAAGTAATTTCACCTCTTAAAGATGAGGCCAAGCCCATGTGTAAGGAGTTGGGAATCAAAACTCAGGTTTGGCTCACATATTTTCATGTTCTTTCCTAAGTAGTAGAAGTGTTGATGGTTTGGTGCAGATACCCTTCAGAACTAACAGATTTTCTGTAGCTTCTTGTGAGATATATGAGGTTGACCAGCCAGAGAAAAAGGCTATCACCTTATAAATTCAGTTTAGTTGGAGTCTATTGGTGAATGAATGGAGCAAATTTGTGGTGCATCTATTCTGGGCCAGGCATCATGCTAGGATTGAGTGCAGAAACAGATGATCCTTAGGTTGAAAATTAGTGGAACAAATAAGTTTCTTAAGTTCAGATAGACGAGGCTATACCAACTGACAACTATCTACAGTTAAAAGTTGGAATATAACAAACTAACATTATTCCATTTAAGAATCTATTTTGCTGAGCGTGGTGGCACATGCCTGTAATCCCAGCAGCTAGGGAGGCTGAGCCAGGAGTATGTCGAGTTCAAAGCCAGCCTTAGCAAAAGCGAGAAACTATGCAACTCAGTGAGACCCTGTCTCTAAATAAAATACAAAAAAGGGCTGGGGATGTGGCTCAGTGGTTGAGTGCCCCTGAGTTCAATCCCCGGTACCCATTCCCCCAAAAAATATCTGTTTTACCATGTAAATGTTGTAGACAAATCCTAAATTTCAGTACCATACGGTATTCTCTTTAGAGGTCCACTATAAAGTGGAAAAACCTACTTTGTTTTATACAAAATTTAGGGGGAAAACTTCATCCCTGGAAGCAAGAGACTGGTTTCCATCTTGGTTCTGTCCCTTTCTAGCTATGTGTTTGGCCATGTTACTTCACCTCTATGAGCCTTAACTTCATCAGTAAAGTAAAGGTAATACAAGCATCACTGATCTGAAATTGACAAAAATTTAAGATTTTGGAGCAGTTCAGATTTTGAGATTAGGGGATGCTCTGAAACACTTCTGGTTTCAAGCATTTTTATATAAGGGATACCCAATCTGTGTATTTTCATGCTATATTGGGAGGGAAGAATAAGAGCTTACACTAATGTACTCTATATTTGCTGTCAAAATGAAGAGGAAGAAAAGTAATAGGAAATGAAGAGCCTGAATCAAGAACCATAATCAAGAACCTCTTTGTGCCAAGCCAGTAAATTGCATCCTTAAGAAGGTCAGAAATAGCTGGTGGCACACCTGTAATCCCAGTGACTTGGGAGGTTGAAACAGGAGGATCTCGAATTCAAAGACAGCCTCAGCAAAAGCAAAGTACTAAGCAACTCAATGAGACACTATCTCTTAACTAAAATAAAAAATAGGGCTTGGAGGTGACTCAGTGGTCTAGTGCCCTTGATTTCAATCCCCAGTACCACCCCCACCCCCAAAAAAGGTCAGAGACATGTTGCAGAAGTTAGGGACAGCAAGAGGGCCCAGAAATGGTCCATTATTCCATTACAAGTCTAAGAGAGGACTGACTATTGTAGAAATGAAGATAATTTAAGGCACCTTCTAAAGAGAAGAAACTCTTAACAACCAGAGAGGTCCAGCCCTGAGTGGGACTTAGTGAATTCCTGTTGTGATCTTTCTGCTGCTAGATGTGTTCAAGTGGAAGTTAAAAGTATACAAGAGGTCATTTCCTACATCAGAGATGAGATTGAACTATTTAGATTTGGGCTATTTTTTCAATTTTTATTTATTTATTTATTTTTGTACCAGGGAGTGAATTCAGGGGCATTCGATCACTGAGCCACATCCCCAGCCCTTTATTTATTTTTTTATATTTATTTTTTAGTTTTAGGCGGACACAACATCTTTCTTTGTATGCGGTGCTGAGGATCAAACCAGGGCCGCACGCATGCCAGGCGAGCGCGCTACTGCTTGAGCCACATCCCAGCCCGACACATCTTAATTTTATAGGATCAAATTTAGCGCCCCGCGCACGCCAGGCGAGCGCGCTACCGCTGGAGCTACAACCCCAGCCCCATCTCCAGCCCTTTTAAAAAACAAATTTTATTTTTTAGTTGTAGTTGGACACAATAGCTTTAATCTACTTATTTATGTGGTGCTGAGGATCGAACCCAGGGCCTCGCATGTGCTGGTGAGCGCTCTACTGCTGAGCCACAACCCAGCGCCCCCAGCCCTTTTTTATATTTTATTTAGAGACAGGGTCTCACTGAGTTGCTTAGAGCCTCATTTTTGCTGAGGCTGGCTTTGAACTCGAAATCCTCCTGTCTCAGCCTCCTAAACCGCTGGGATTACAGGCGTGCGCAACCGGACCGGTTCAATTCTAATATTATTGATCTGTGTGGTGGATGAAAGAGGCGTGGGTCTCCTAGGTAAAAACCTCCTATCTCTCTCCCAGCGCAGAGTTATCGAACAGGTCAGCGTGAAAACCTGGTCCGCTAAGGACCTGTCACGTAGATTTAAGTTTTGGGCTCAGTCTCCCTCCAAACGACAGAATGTCTCAGCCTCTCGAGCCACTGGGATTACAGGCGTGCCTTTAGAGGATTAGAGGAGGAGCCTTTGGGCCCTGTACAAAGTCTCCTAGTGACTCCAGAGAGGCCGCCAGATGGCGCCCTGGGTCTGACCACAAAGTCAACTTCCTTCCTCTTCCCCTAACTTCCCAGCAGTCCGCCCGGCTTGGGGCGCGGGACCGGAGGGTTGGGACCAGCCGGCTTCCCCTCAGGGTTCCCCAGCTTCGGAGGTAGCCACGCGTTAAGAGTAGCAAAAGCCCAGTACTAGCCGGGACTCTCAACTGTCCAGGGCAAGCCTGGGCGGGTGAAGAGAACCGAGCCCCGTAGCCCTCGGCTGGGAGAGGTGCTAGGTCACCGGTCCTGGCAGGGGCTAGCCCTCCGGCCAGAGCTTGCACCAGGTGGGCAGTCACCCCCTACTCCCCGCCCAGCCCAAACCTTTCCGCTCTGAGAGGCGCGCCTGGGTCGCTCTTGGTTGGCTGCGCGAGTCCCGGAGTTAAAACTTTCAGCCAATGAAAAGGTGCCCGAGGCGTGACGCACGGAAACGTCACGGGAATTCCCCCCTCCGGGGGGCGGAAAGGGGGCTTTCCCCGTTGGTGTCCTGGTAACTGGAGTAGTGTCTCCACCCATCCGAGGCGGGTCGGACGCTAATAGTAGACGGAACCAGAGTCGTCGCCACGGTGAGTGGCCGGGTTAAGACCCTTGGGTAGCTAGGATAACGGGGTGGGGGGCCTGTGGGAGGAGGCAGGAGGGCAGGCCGTTAGGTGACCGAGTCCCAGATCTGGAGAGCAGCAGACGCATACATCCAGAAAGCGCCGACGCAAACAAAACGCACAGGTACACGTCGACATCCTTGTTCAAACATATGCACTCTTGCACTTGTGCAGGCACGAATACAGCAGTGTCTTTACAGTCGAACTCGCGCACACATGCACAAGCACACATGCTCACCTGTGCACCAATGCCTGAACACACACCCTTCATTCACAACCTCCTAAACATGTCATCCGTATCTTACACATCTAGCCATGCACTGACATTTACCTACACTGAGAAGCTCAGGAACTCACCTGTTTAGATATTCTCACTTGTACATGCATGTTGACACCCTGCACATAACATGAATCTGAGTACTTGGGCCGAAACACACTTGTATGCCTGTGATGGAGACACATACATGTAGTCCATATGGCTGTGCTGGGGTCGGAGGTGTGCAGGGATCGGCCTGGGCACCAGGAACAGGTGCAGCTTGGGAATCTAGGCAGCTGAGACATTCGCGGAGAGGGAGAGAAACCTATCCCAAGGAGACACCTTTCCCCTACCCTGCAGCCCAGAGTCACGTTCTCGGGGCAGCACCCTAGGGCCCCCAACTGGGAAGAACCCCCGCCTACAGGTCATTCGAAGAGGAGGCCTTCCGACAGCAGGAATGTCCCCCCAAAAGCCCCTGGGGTGAATCAGCCGTGGCCTCCCTCCTGGCAGAAAATCCCAAGGTTACTCCAAGCCAGAGGAGCGCGGGACGGGGTGGGGCGGACCTGGACTCAGACTGAGCCTCTAGGGCCGCGAAAGACCTTCTGTCCGCGGCGCCTGCCCTGGAGGGAGGAGGAGACCTAACCCCCATCAGGGCTTGCCCGGTTCTCCGTGCCCTTTGCGGGTGGACAGGCAGTCGGTGCCCACAGCCTGTGAGAGCCTCCAGCCCCTCCCGCCCCGGGGGCGGGACCATTGGCGTCATTTCCAGGCCCGCCCCCTCCGGCCCCGCCTCCTCTGGTATTTTCGGGACTTTCCTAAACTGCTCTAACTTTCTGCCCCTTCACTGGCCCAGCCCAGCTCCGGATCTCGCTCTCCACCGGATCTTACCCGCCACACCCGGACAGGCGACCGGAGGAGATCGGACCCTCCCCCAAATCTGGGCACCCCTTTTCCTCCCACCCCTATCCTGATTTATTCCCTACCCGCCACCCCCTCCCCCCCCCCCGTCACCCTCCCTCCACACACACCTTAGGCGGGAGCCTAAAACTCTGAGAAGCAGAACCAGGGGCCGAAGCCACCAGACAGAGCACCAGACAGAGCCGGGCCTAGCCCAGAGACATGGACAGTTGCTACGACCCAGTGAGTCACGCTGCCTGGCCCTGAAGGCAGCCGGTGCCCCCCGTGTCTGTCTTTCTGCGGGAGCCGCTCAGTTCCCTTATGTTTGTATGTCCTCAGATTATCCCAGCTCGCTTGTCAGTCTGATCACCTGTCTGCAAGCTGCTTAGGTTTGAAGCTGGGAGGTGGGAGGGTTCTGGGATGGCGCAAAATCAGCCACTTCCAATCTGTCTCCAAACCAGGGTCTGGATGGTATTGCTGAATATGATGATTTCAAATTCAGTCCCTCCGTTGTGGAACCCAAGGAGCCAGTCCCCGAGACAGGTTAGTAAGTCAGCTAACCTCCTCTTGTGTTAGAGGGAGGAAAAGGAAGAGCATGTGTCCTCTGCCTGGATAACATGCTAGAAGATCCTAGTTTAACAAGGTCCCTCTGTCCCCAGCTAATGGCCCCTACCTGGTGATTGTGGAACAGCCTAAGCAAGTGAGTGAGCAAAAAGGATGGTGTGGGATGGCTTCAACTTGGGGGCAAGTGGGGTAGATATAGGTGGGTGGTCATGGGGCCCAGGGATCAGTGTCCAAGGAAGCCATTGTGGTTTGGATGGTGGTTGCTGTTGATCACAGTGGGGGTGCTTCTGGTTCAGGGTAGATATAACTGATTATTACGGTCACTGCTGGCCAGAGGTGTGGCTACCTAGGATGGTCTCTCCTGATTACAATGTCACTCTGGACTTTCAGCGTGGCTTCCGATTTCGATATGGCTGTGAAGGTCCTTCTCATGGAGGCCTGCCTGGTGCCTCAAGTGAGAAGGGACGGAAAACCTATCCCACTGTCAAGGTAAGCTAGGATGATGCTGGAGGGTAGGCTAAGAGACAGCATGTTGGGGCATTACTGACAGCTGTCTTCCCCACTCAGATCTGTAACTACGAGGGCCCTGCCAAGATTGAGGTGGACCTGGTAACACACAGTGACCCACCTCGTGCTCATGCCCACAGCCTGGTGGGCAAGCAGTGCTCAGAGCTGGGAGTCTGTGCTGTCTCTGTGGGGCCCAAGGACATGACTGCCCAGTAAGTGTCCCCTAGCCCTGGTCCCCACTAGGATGGCCCTTTGTTGCCTGCCAAACCTAGGCCCCAGCCCAGTTCTGTGTGCTTAGCATCTGACAAAGGGGGAGGCTTAGGTTGGCCCCAGAACCAGAGGGCCCAAGTATTAACAAGAATAACTTCCTTGAGGAAGTAGGGCTATGTTAAGCTTGGCAGTGGGAAGGCTGCCTGAGAAGGAAAGAAATGCATGGGCAAAGGCCTCTGACTCCTCCTCCTCCTCTCCAGATTCAATAACCTGGGTGTCCTGCATGTGACCAAGAAGAATATGATGGAGATTATGATACAAAAACTTCAGAGGCAGAGGCTCCGCTCCAGGCCCCACGGTCTTACAGGTATGGAGGCAGGGAAAATCATGGAAACTACTCAAAGAAGGAGCAGGGAAGAGGAGGAACCTAGTGGTTACACATATGCTCACTACCCAGAGGCTGAGCGGCGGGAGCTGGAGCAGGAGGCCAAAGAGCTGAAGAAAGTGATGGATCTGAGTATTGTGCGTCTACGCTTCTCTGCCTTCCTTCGAGCCAGTGATGGCTCTTTTTCCCTTCCCCTGAAGCCAGTTATCTCCCAGCCCATCCATGACAGTAGTAAGTATCCTAATTGGTGCCAGGCCTGGGTGCCAGAGGGAGCATGAGAGACATTGTCAAGCTATGGAGTCAAACAGGCCTTGGTTTGAACCTGGTCCTGCCCCATATGAGCTAAATGGTCTTGAGCAACTCATTTCTCCTTCTGAGTGTTGCTTCCAGCTTTGGTAAATGAGAGGACATTAGTAATTCCTGCACCTCCTGGGTTGTCAAGATAATAACCCTAAAGCCCCTGGCTCCATCAGTGTGGCATTATATCACCTAATCTATTTCCCACCTCATAGAGTCTCCAGGGGCCTCAAACCTGAAGATTTCTCGAATGGACAAGACAGCAGGCTCAGTACGGGGTGGAGATGAAGTTTATCTTCTTTGTGACAAGGTGCAGAAAGGTGAGGCTGGAGCCCAAACTGGGAATTAGGGACACTGAGTTCTAGCCTGAGGATCAGAGCAGGTCCAGGATAAATGGCTGTGAAGGTTCTCCCAGAAACTATGGTCAAGCTTCACTTTTCCTGTAGATGACATTGAGGTTCGGTTCTATGAGGATGATGAGAATGGATGGCAGGCCTTTGGGGACTTCTCTCCCACCGATGTTCATAAACAGGTACTCAGGGATCAGGGCCTGGTCTAGGGGATGAACTAGGCAAAGGCCTGACTGACACCCTGTGTTGTCCCCCACCCTCTCAGTATGCCATTGTGTTCCGGACACCTCCCTATCACAAGATGAAGATTGAGCGGCCTGTAACGGTGTTCCTACAACTGAAACGCAAGCGTGGAGGGGATGTATCTGACTCCAAACAGTTCACCTATTATCCTCTGGTAGAAGGTGGAACTGGGCTTGAGGATCCTATGGGACTGGGCTGGGCTGGAGGGTTCCCAAGAGGTGATTTCTAGGAGCCAGTCTGAGTACTTTTGAAAGAAGAGACCCTAAGGCATGACCCTTGAGCTAGAGTTTTAACATTTGTTTGCCTTTGCCCCCAGACAAGGAGGAGGTGCAGCGGAAGCGGAGGAAGGCATTGCCTACCTTCTCCCAGCCCTTTGGAGGTGGCTCGCACATGGGTGGAGGCTCTGGGGGCTCTGCTGGGGGTTATGGAGGAGCTGGAGGAGGAGGTGAGGGGTGCTGAAGGCTGAAGATGTGTGGAGGGGACAGGGATAGGGGGGAAAGAAATGGTGGGGAAGAAATTGGGGAGAGTCCTGGCTGGTGCCCGCCCCCCACAGCCCTGCCTGTACCCACAGGTGGCAGCCTCGGCTTTTTCCCCTCCTCCTTGGCCTACAGCCCCTACCAGTCCGGCGCGGCCCCAATGGGCTGCTACCCGGGCGGCGGGGGCGGGGCGCAGATGGCCTCCTCCGCGCCGTGTGTGGATGCTACGGAGGAAGCGGCAGAGCCAAGCGCGCCCCCTGGAAACCCAGAGGGCGAACCACAGGCTCCGGACGTCCTGCTGCGAGGTATGGCCTCCAAAATGTGAACGGTCGGGACGCCGGGGCTGGAGACCAATCATGCATCCTTCCATGCCCCCTGTCACCCCCCAGCTCGGGAGTACAACGCGCGCCTGTTTGGCCTGACGCAGCGCAGCGCCCGAGCCTTGCTCGACTACGGCGTCACGGCGGACGCGCGCGCGCTGCTGGCGGGACAGCGCCACCTGCTGACGGCTCAGGACGAGAACGGAGACACGTAGGCGGCTAGAGGGCGGGCGGAGGCCGGGCTTCCTAGGGTCTGGGATTTACCACCCCTGATGCAAGGTCGTGGTGTGGGAGCAAGAAAGGGATCTGCAAAGAGCTGGCCCCTGGAGTTGAAAAGACCAGAATTCAGGTTCTGCGAATTTCACTGCAAATCTCACTATTTGCTAGTTCTGCTCAAGGTACTTACCCTTTCCAAACTTCAGTTTTGTCAACTGAGGAAGGGACATAATAATAGCCATTATTTACCTTAAAAAGTGCAGAGAAGGATTAAGTTCAGGTACGGCGATGTCCTTGGAGATATTTTGGGTTCAACAAGCCCCAGCCAGAGAGACTAGGAAAGAAGTGGTGGGGTTTTGAGGGTAGATAATCCTGAGTGGCTGGGCTTGCTAAGCCAGAGTTACTCCTCAACCCCCAGGCCACTGCACCTAGCAATCATCCACGGGCAGACCAGTGTCATTGAGCAGATAGCCCATGTCATCTACCATGCCCAGCACCTCGGTGTTGTCAACCTCACCAACCACCTGCACCAGGTGAGGGGGCACCTACTGGTGAGGGAGTAGCAGTTGGAAGGCAGATGGGTCTAAGCTGGCTTGGCCCTGACTCACCCTGACTTTTCCTCAGACACCCCTGCACCTGGCAGTGATAACTGGACAGACAAGGGTGGTGAGCTTTCTGCTACAGGTGGGTGCAGACCCTGCACTGCTGGATCGGCATGGAGACTCAGCCATGCACCTGGCACTGCGGGCAGGTGCTGGAGCCCCAAACCTGCTGCAAGCACTGCTGCACAGTGGAGCTCCCACTGTGCCCCAGCTGTTACATATGCCTGATTTTGAGGGTAAGTTCCCCACCAACTCCAAACTTGGAGGGTAGAGGTGAAGGAAGACCAATGAGGGTGTCTTGCAAGTGGACATTAGGTGCTGAGACTGGCTCATCAGGGCTAATCTTAGGGCCACTTTGGGATCACAGCTATAGACTGATATCCTGCATTCCCAGGACTGTACCCAGTACACCTGGCAGTTCGTGCCCGAAGCCCTGAGTGCCTGGATCTGCTGGTGGACAATGGAGCTGAAGTGGAGGCTGCAGAGCGACAGGGAGGCCGAACAGCACTGCATCTAGCCACCGAGATGGAGGAGCTGGGGTTGGTTACACATCTGGTCACCAAGGTGGGAATGAGGATTGTGGAAGGGGTAGAGCCAAGATTGCAGGGAGATTGAGAATGATGATGAGGTGTGTGGGAAGGGTCAGTCAACTGAACCATGCTGGGGTCCACTTTCTTGCACCCCACAGCTCCATGCCAATGTGAACGCCCGCACCTTTGCCGGAAACACACCCCTACACCTGGCAGCTGGATTGGGATCCCCAACCCTTACCCGTCTCCTTCTAAAGGCTGGTCAGTCTCACCCATAGAGGCATATGAACAGGGCAAGGGGAGGAAAAGGGTGCTCCTAGTACCCCCACTTTGTATTTATTAAGGTAGGCCCCCATTGTCCTACTGGATGACTGCCTTCCTTCCCCAGGTGCTGACATTCACGCAGAAAACGAGGAGCCTCTGTGCCCACTGCCCTCACCTCCCACCTCTGGAAGCGACTCAGATTCCGAGGGACCTGAGAGGGACATCCAGAGCAGCTTCCGAGGCCACACACCTCTTGACCTCACCCGCAGCACCAAGGTGAGGCTATCCTGGCACTGGAAGTAACTAACAAAGCACCAGGTACCTCCTAGGCTTGGGAATGGGGCCCAGAGTGTGCACTTCCAGGTAGCTAGGCTTAAAGAGTAGGATGGGAAGTAGTCAAAGCTATCTCCCCAGGTGAAGACCTTGCTGCTTAATGCTGCTCAGAACATCATGGAGCCCCCCCTGACCCCACCCAGCCCTGCAGGTAAGGTCTCACAGATATTCCCAGGCCCCAGGAGCATCTTAACAGAGGTCTTCTTCTTCAAAACCTCTGAAGGAGGGTTCTTCCCTTCCATCTTCTGTCCCAGTGGCCTTGACTGTCAGGTTTTCAGGGGAAAGGTGGTGTCCAGGTATCTGTCTCTGCCCATATCTGGAGGCAACTGACATGTTTATATCTGTGCCCCATCAGGACCAGGGCTGTCACTTGGGGAGACAGCCTTACAGAATCTGGAGCAGCTGCTAGATGGGCCAGAAGCCCAGGGTAGCTGGGCAGAGCTGGCAGAGCGGCTAGGACTGCGCAGTCTAGTGGACACATACCGGAAGACAGCTTCACCCAGTGGCAGCCTCCTGCGCAGTTATAAGGTGGGACAATCTATACTCTATCCCAGCCCCCATATGCTTTCCCCACCTCAGAGCCCAGATGATTCCTTGGCCCCTGAGCTCCCCACCCTAATGCCCTAAGCATGATTCAAACCTCCTGTCTCTTCCTTCTCCTCAGCTGGCTGGTGGTGACTTGTCAGGTCTGCTGGATGCCCTGTCTGACATGGGTCTAGATGAAGGAGTGCGACTGCTAAGAGGTCCTGAGACCCGAGAAAAGCTGCCTAGCACAGGTAAAGGGGGCCAACCTGGAAGACGGAGCTGGGTCTGGAGGGTGGGAGGCCTGAGCCTTTGACTTGCCCCCGTTCCTTTCCCTGTGTCCCTCCAGCAGAAGTGAAGGAAGACAGTGCATATGGGAGCCAGTCAGTGGAACAGGAGGCAGAGAAGCTGGGCCCACCCCCTGAGCCACCAGGAGGGCTCTGCCATGGGCACCCCCAGCCTCAGGTGCACTGAACTGCCACCTGCCCTTCAGCCCTCTTCCTGAACTTCTCTGTACAGCATCCCTATCTAGTCCAAATCTTATTTAACACCCCATGCCCACAACTCAGTTGGAGCAAATAAAAGATTCTCTGGGAGGACCCCCTTCCCATCTTATGGCAGCCCCCAGTGTGACTCTAGTCCCTAGAACCAGCTTCCTACCCTGGCCCCAAGCCAACAAGAAGACAAGACCCAGCCAGCAATTCAGAGCAGTTTTAATGGGGCAGAGGCTGTACAAAGGGCAGGGCCCATTGAGGGAGGGAAAGCAGGCGGTGCCACCCTGGTCTGTGGATAGGGCCTCAATGTGGATGCCCTTCCTTCACCTCTGGAAAGAGAGAGGTAAGCCCCCATGGAAAAGGAGGGAAAACCAGCTCAGCTTCAACTCTGGGCCTCTGTCTGAGCCAGGCCCCAGGATGGAGAGTGTGACTGCTGGTGTCAGGGTGGGGATAGTCTTGGCAGAAAGCGGAAATGTTGTCAGGCCTCTCCCACAAAAAAAAAGGACCCCATCAAAAGTTCCGGGACACTGGCCCCTCCCACCCCCACCCACCCTGTACGAAAAAGTGCAAAACATTATCACAAAAGGGGTCTTAGAGGCGCCCTTAGCCTAGGCTCCTGAGGCCCATGCCCAACCCTGCCCCGGACACCGCGTCCGGCGCGGTCGGGCCCTGGGCCAGGAGGCCCTCATGGGTGGCCCGAGGCCGGCCCGGGCTTAGGCAGGGCCATGTCATCATGCAGGTGCCCAGCAGGCACCATCCCCCACACTCCCACTCCCTGTTCAGGGCTTCCGCCTTGCGCTGCCTGCCCCTGACGGAGGCTCTGAGCCAGGACGCTGAGTGCGGGCCTGGCTGGTGGGGTTGGGCTGCAGGGAGGGACTGGAGTGAGGCAGAGGGAGTCCGTCCTCCATGCTCCCAGCCTGGGCCAGCGCTGCCTCTATGGCGTCCAGCTCTTCGCTGGCTGCCTTCAGCTTGACCCGAAGCAGTGCTGCGTAGGTGCCGTAGCGGGATTTCTGAGGCAGGGGGCCAGGAGCCATGAGCACCTGTTCTCCTCTCCCAGCCCTTCCCACACCCATGACCAGCTAGGAGATGGAATGTCCCACCCACCTCTATATCCCAAAAGACCCCAGCTGGCAGGTTGATGACTTTCTCTGGGCTCTCAGAACTACCTGTGGGTTACAGCTAACATTTCTTGAGGTTTTTTGGGGTTTTTTTTTTTTTTGGTACCAGGGATTGAACTGAGGGGCATTCAACCACTTAGCCACACCCCAAGCCCTATTTTTTGTTTTTTATTTAGAAACAGGGTCTTAGTAGCTTAGCCCTTCGCTTTTGCTCAGACTGGCTTTGAGTTCACAATCCTCCTGTCTCAGCCTCCCCAGCAAATGGCTGGGATTACAAGCATACGCTACCATGCTCAGCCATTTCTTGAGTTTTTACTAGAGTCAAGAAACAGACGTGTTACCTCCTGACCCTAGGGAGTGTGGAGTGTTACCCTTATTCCCAAGAGAAAACTTACACTCAGAGAGATTAAACCCAAGGTCACCCTGCTGATACAACTCTTAAAAGCCCCCACCCTTGAGCTGGGGTTGTGGCTCAGTGGTAGAGCACTTGCCTAGCATGTGTGAGGCACTGGGTTCAATTCTCAGCACCACATAAAAATAAATAAATGTAAAATCCCCCACCCTTAGCCCTAGCCTGAGCCTGTTTGGGAAGCACAGTACCAAGCAGGGAGACTCACCTCAAACTCCAGGTAGGCCTCCTTCTGCCGCTGCTCCTCAGCCTCCTTTCCTCGGGCCTTCTTTCCCAGCTGGGTGGCCCGATGCTCACGCAACTCGCTTGCCATGACCTTCAGTTTGGCCTCGTGGGTCCGCATCTGCTCCTCCTAACAGCCAGGAGAGAACAGTCAGGGTCACTATTATCTAGATATACAGTGCCTTTGGGCAAATTTTAACAAGGTGTCCCTTTGGACAAGCAAAGCACACTATGGCTGGGTTTCCAGCTTAGCAAGTAGTGTAGGGGCTGGACTTGAGCCTCTGCTTGTCTCCCATGACTGTCATAGGGATGCAACACACGGCAGCCTGGAGTGCACCCAGCCTGGGCCTGCCCCACTCCATCCCACTGGCAGCAGGTGGGCCAAGTGAACTGGGGCTACCTGGGAGAGGCGGGTGGCAGCGCTGGGCAGCAGAGGGCGGCTGAACCTCTTATGGGAACTAACAGCAGCTGGGAAGGGGGGTGCAGAGAACATGGCAGCGACTACATTGATGCGAGTGATCCAGGACTGCATCTGCTCCAGGCTCCTGGGGAGACAGCACAGTCCCTTGGGATCTGGGCCAAGGGATGCCTGTCCTGGCTCAGGATGTGGCCTGAGAAGAAATGAGGCAATCCAGGGTCAAGGAAAGGGTCTGGGGTGGACAGGAAAAGGACACTCACGGAGCCTGGAAGAGGAAGACCCGCCAGTCAGCAGTGCGCAGGTAGAAGACATGGGGCCTCTTGCTGTAGTCACTGGCACGGGTGGCCAAAGCATGGTGGATGCTGATGGCATTCTTGAGCTCCGCCTCTGAGAGTGCCTTCCCAGGTTGATACTCCTCCTGCAGGGGTGACCATCTTGTCCTGGCCTCAGTCTGGCCTGGCCTAGCCCAGCCACCCACTCTCCCTCCCAAGTCAGCACAGCCCCCACCATGGGCCTGGCCCCGCACCTTCTGCAGGTAGAGAATCATGCCCTTGAGGATCCCGTGGAAGCTCTTCCAACCCCGCTTGCCCCGAGGTGCTGGGGGGGAAGGAAGGCAAGTCAGGGGGGCCTGGGACAGGCTCACCCCCATCCATCCCCCAGACCCCCCTCCTGGCCACGTACTCTTCCTGCAGTCAGGGTCTGCGTGCACCTTTCGCACCAGGGCCCCGTGCTTGTAGACGGCAGCCCCAGGCTCAGGAGTCAGGTCCAGGAAAGGGCTGGAGCCGCTGCCACTGCCCCCGCTGACCCTCTTGATGACCTTGGGGTTGGGGTCGGCCAACTCAGACAGAGAGCGCCTCAGTTCCTCCTCGTCTCTGCAGGTGTGATGGCCTCAGAGGGGAGCTGGTCATGGAGCCATACCCCCCTTCAGCCCTGGCTTCCGCCCACCCTGGAAAGCTCCTCCAGCGTTTGTGGAGCTGCAGGGGGTCTCTTCAACCTGAGGCTCCTGCCACAGGTTTCCCCCCTCAGAACAGGGCTCCTCAAGGCAGCATGTCTCCTTCCTAAAACTAGACATCCCCAGAGTAGAACCACAGCTGTCCTTTCTTCCCCTCACATGTAACCATCCCCATCCTCTCTATTTCTAGATACACACCCAACCCTCACACCCTCCTCTACCAGGACAGACACATGTCTGACTCAACTCAACCATACCTAACCTAAACTATGAGGCTTTGCTTATATGTTGGCTAAATGGTGGAAGGGATAGCTTCCTAGTGCCCTCCAAAAAAAAATCTTGGTCTGCAGTTTCTGTCAGATAAAAAAAAAAAGAGAGAGAGAGATTCTATCTTTTCACTCCCTTGCTCCAGAATCTGCAGTAGCTCCCCATTGTCTCCTACATGAAACTTATACTACATCTCCCCAATACTCTTTCTCTTCATTCCAGTCAGGCCTGCCTCCTTGTGGTCTCCCCATTTCACACTCATTTCAGCCACACCTTTGCCTCCCAAATACTTCCCCTCAGGGAAGCCTCAGTTCCAATCCTCCAAAAAGCATTCCCTGATTTCTCTTTGTACCCTAATTCTGAGCTCTGCCTCTCTGAGGTCTCTCCTAAAGACTGGGAGTTCCTAGCCAAACTGGGTAGTGACTGAACTCTCAGTAGATAGCAACAAATACAAATGATAGATTGATTGTTACTTGAGGGCTCTACCCTCAGACTGGAGGCCCCAAGGCCCAAACTGGACCTTCTCCCTCATACTGGACCTTCCATGACTTTCTTTGGGCTTGCCTGTGTTTCTACTTGGGGATACCAAGAAGATACAACATAGCCCCTTGTTCTGGGATACTTGGGCTCCCTAAGACCCACTGGGGTCCTTTTGTGCTACTGATCAAGACTACCCTTCCAGAGGCCTCTGCTTTCCTACGAGGCTACCAGGAGACCTTCCTTTTACGTCTCAGCACACCTCTTCCCGTCCAACCCAGCTTGTCATAACAACCCAGCTGGAGACAAAACAGACCCCAAGTCTAAGCAGGGCATCTCCAAAGAAGGAAGCAAGGCAGCCACACTGCCTCTTACCCACCTCCTTGTACCCACAGCCCCAGGACTCCGTAACCCAGGCAGCTCTTCCCCACCCCTAACCCCTAACCCCACACAGCCCTGGGACTCACATGGCCCACTGCAACTTTTCATTCTTGATGGAGCTGTACAAGGCCTGGGGAAGAACAAATCAGGGAGTATGGGTCAGTCCTGAGGGAAAGCATACTAGGTACCCCAATGTCAGAGCTCAAAGCCCTCCCTCCCAACTTGGGAGAAGAGCCAGATCTAAGGGGAAAGGGGCAGCAATGTATAATGACCATGAGCATAGGCTCTGGAATACAGTACCAATACCCAGGCCCAGTTCTGCCACTTTAGCTCTATGACTTTGGGCAGGTATCCAAGGGGAGGAACAAACATCAACATGTGGGGGCAAGCAGTGCAGGGAATCCTGGCACATGGCTGATGCACAATAAATGGTAGCTACTATTATTATCTTTATTATTATTAAGGGACACTCCTGCTCAGATCCTGATGGGAGAAACATAGCCCTAAGGAAATGGGGAAGAGCAGCCCAATAAACCCTCCTTCCCCCAGCCATGTGTTCTGGCCTCTTCCCACAGAATAAGCCCACACACAGCATATGGGGAAACTGAGGTCCCACAATAGGGGCTCACTCTCCCAGCTCCTTACTTGGCTAAAACATACACTCATGACTCCAAACCCCAGGACAAGCCGAGACCTTCCCCCAACCCAGACAGCACCATCAAGCCAAATGCCAGTGGTCCATCCCCTAGCCACCTGCACACTTTATGTTACTGAGAAGTGATGACTAGTCTGAAGCTTTGCCTTCCAAAGCCTATCCACCCCAAATTGTAAGCCTCTAAACCAGTGTCTTCCTCTGTCTCTTCTTCTTCTCTCCTCCCTACA